CGGTTCCTCTGGGGCCCGTCGCGTCTCCCCGCACGACTCCTTCGGGCCCAGGGGGCCTCCAAGACGGGCCCAGATAGCTCCAAGAGACCCCCAAGACGGTCCCGAGACGCTGCAAGATCGATCAAAGACGCCTGCGATGACCCCAAGACGGCCCAAGAGGCCGCCAAGAGGGCCCAAGAGGCCTCCCAAGGGGGACTCATGAGGCCAACATCATAAAGTTCCTTTGGTTTTTTTACAGATGTTGGTGCTCTCGTCTTTTCGGCTTCCCGATGCTTCCAGACGGCCCAAAAGGCCCCCAAGACCGCCCCAAGATGGCCCCAGAGGCCCTAGCTCAAGAGACGCTCAAAACGGCCCAAGAGAGCCACTAAAGGGGCCCAAAGGAGGGAACACGAACCGAAATCTGAGCTCGCCGCCCCAAGAGGCCCCCAGGAGGCCTCAGAGGCGCGGAGGCTCCAAGAGGCCCCCAAGAGGCCCCAAGAAGCTCCCAAGAGGCCCCAAAAAGTCCCCGAGAGTCCCCTAAACGACCCCCAAGAGGCGTCCAAACTGCCTCCAAGAGGCCCCCGAGAAGCCTCTCACGAGATCCCAGCGAACATCCAGTAGGCTTCATACCCACAACACAAGCACGGTGGCAGGATGGGCCGAAAGATAATACATCCGCCGCCCCCTTTTGATTTATCAAAGGGGTGCCTGGCGTGCCGGATGATATGGCTTTTGGTTTTTTTCCAAAAGAACCCCCCCTGGGGGTTCGGCCCGTCCCGCCGGCCACCTGGAAAGGATCTCAAAACGCGTCCGTCGTGTCTCTGTTTCCTCCATTTGGCCCAAGATGGCGTCCAAGACGGCCAAGATGGCCCAGGATGGTCTCCAAGACGTCTCCAAGAAAAAGGAGAGAAAGAAAGCAGGAGAGAGAAAGAGAGTAAAGAGAAGAAGAAGCCGACAGAGGAACAAGGACAGATGAAGCCAGTGAAGCCAGAACCTCAAGAAGGAATAGGGCAGGAGCAGTGAGCGCTGAAGAATGAAGAAGCAAAGCACCTGAGAAAAACATATAAGACACAAGCTAAGAAAAATACCGAGAAAGAGAAAGCCAAGAAGGAGGAGATGGACGCAAGGCTCCGACCCCGCCCACCATGCACTCCCTCTCAACCGGCAACGACTCCGTCGTGCGTGTCCCCACCCCAGCCCGCCTCCCGCCTCCCTCGCACCTCCGACCTCCCTCCCCTTCCCTTAACCCCCCCCCGCCCCTCCAGCCCTCCCCTCCGGCACCCCCCTCCCCAAGCTGCCACCAAGACGTCTCATATGGCCCAAAAAGCGTCCAAGACGGCCCACGATGGCCTCAAGACGGTCTACGACGGCACAACAGGCCGCAAGAGGCCTCCAAGACGGCCCAAGAGCCCTCCAAGACGTCCTCCAGGAAGGCCCGAAAGGGCCAAAATCATTGATTTTCCTTTGTTTTTTGAAGTATTTTGGCATTTGCGCCTTTTCGGCTTTCCGACGGCCCAAGAGGCCCCCAAGATCGCCCAAGAGGCCCCCAAAAGGGCCCCATGACGGTACCAGTGGCCTCCAAGACGGCCCCAAGAGGGCCCCAAGAGGGCCCGCATGAAGACGGCCCAAGAGGCCTCCAAGACGCCCAAGATGGCCTCCAAGACGCCAAGATGGCCTCCAAGACGGCCCCGAAGCGCCCCAAGAGGGCCCCAAGTCGGCCCAGAAAGGCCCCCAAGACGGCTCCCGACGGCGTCAGACGTGCCAGGAACCCACCAAGATGGCCGAAGTTGGCTCGAAGCTGGCCCAAGACGGCCCAAGAGGCCCCCAAAAGGGTCTCCAGAAGGCCAGAAGAGGCCCAAAACATTGATTTTCCATTGGTTTTTGAAGGATTTTGACATTTGCTTCTTTCCGGCCTTCCGACGGCCCGAGACGGCCCCAGAGCCCCCGAAGATCGCCGAAAGATCGCCCAAGAGGCCTCCAAGATGGCCCCAGAACGGCCCAAGAGGGCCCCAAGACGGCCCCAAGAGGCCCCCAAGACGGCACAGGAGGCCTTTAAGACGCCCAAGATGGTTTCCAAGACGGCCCTGGAGCATTCCAAGAGGGCCCAAGTCGGCCCATAGAGGCCCCCCAAACGGCTTCCGACGGCGTCAGACGGACCAGGAGCCCACCAAGACGGCCGAACATGGCCCTAAGATGGCCTAAGACGGCCCAAGAGGCCTCCAAGAGGGCCTCCAGGAAGGCCAGAAAAGGCCCAAATCATTGATTTCCCATGGGTTGTTGAAGGATTGTGGCTTTTTTCCGGCCTTCCGACGGCCCGAGACGGCCCAAGTGCCCCCAAAGATCGCCCAAGAGGCCCAAGACGGCCCCTAGAGGCCCCCAAGACGGCCCAAGATGCCTCCAAGACGCTCAAGATGGCCTCCAAGACGGCCCAAGAGCCCTCCAAGACGTCCTCCAAGAAGGCCCGAAAGGGTCAAAATGGCCTCCAGACGGCCAAGATAACCTTCAAGATGCCCACGTGTTCCCCGAAGGCTTTCCAAACCGATTCGGGGAACACATGGTCCGATAGCTTGGCAGGTCTGGCCTCAACGTTCGGCCACATAGGCGCTTCCAAGAAGGCAGGGGGCGGCGGTGATTCGCCGTAGGCGTCTTCGATCCGCCGCCCCCTTTTAATTTATCAAAGGGGTGCCTGGCGTGCCGAACCCTATCGTTTTGGCTCTTTTTCCAGAAAAGAACTCTCCCTGGGGCTTCGGCCCGTCCCGCCGGGGTCCCGGGAGATTCCCGAACATCCGTCCGTCAATGCCTTTGTTGCCCCAAGTTGGCCCAAGATGGCCTCCAAGACGGCCAAGATGGCCCAGGATGGCCTCCAAGATGCCTCCAAGACAGCCAAGATGGCCTCAAAGATTTCTAAGATGGCTCCAATATGCGCCCAGGACGGCCCAAAACAGCCTCAAAATGGTCTACGACGGCCAGGCCTCCAAAACGGCCCTAGAGCCTTCCAAGACGTCCTCCAGGAAGGCCCGAAAGGGCCAAAATTATTGATTTGCCTTAGTTTTTTGAAGGATTTGACATTTGCGCCTTTTCGGCATCCCGACGGCCCAAGACGGCCCAAGACGCTCCCAAGATCGCCCAAGAGGTCTCCAAGATGGCCCCATGACGGCCCAAGGCGCGCCCAAGACGGCCCCAAGAGGGCCCCAAGATGGGCCAAGAGGCCTCCAAGACGCCCAAGATGGCATCTAAGACGGCCCTGGAACACCCCAAGAATGCCTCAAGTCGGCCCAGAGAGGCCTCCCAATCGGCTTCCGACGGCGTCAGACGGGCCAGGAACCCACCAAGGTGGCCGAAATTGGCTCGAAGCTGGCCCAAGCTGGCCCAAGAGGCCTCCAAGAGGGCCTCCAGGAAGGCCAGAAGAGGCCACAACATCGATTTTCCATAGGTTTTTGAAGGATTTTGACATTTGCTTTTTTTCGGCCTTCCGACTGCCCTCCGACGGCCCAAGAACCCCCAAATATCGCCTCAAGATCGCCCAGGAGGCCAAGATGGCCCCAGAACGGCCCAAGAGGCCCCCAAAACGGCCCCAAGAGGCCCCCAAGACGGCCGAGGACACCTTTAAAACGCCCAAGATGGCCTCCAAGACGGCCCTGGAGCATTCCAAGAGGGCCCCAAGTCGGCCCAGGGAGGCCCCCCAAACGGCTTCCGACGGCGTCAGACGGACCAGGAGCCCACCAAGACGGCCGAACATGGCCTTAAGATGGCCCAAGACGGCCCAAGAGGCCCCCAAGAGAGCCTCCAGGAAGGCCCGAAAAGGCCAAAATCTGTGGACGTCACAAGCTGTTTTCAAAGCGGAGACCCTGATGAACGAACAGCCACGCGTCCTGGCGCTCAGCTGTGAGGCCAACTTCAACCTTAGAGAGAAAAACGAGACGGCACTGCATGTGCGTGGATCGGGATTGCGCATGTCCGAGAGGGTTCGGGGGGGCGGGGGACCAGAGAAGCTCAAAGTAGGAAAATAGAGCCAGATGGCAACAGAGGCAAGAGGAAGCTCGCCAAAAACATGATCTACCACGGCAGGGTTGCATCATCATCAAGAGGCGACTCATGCTCTGTGAAGCGAAAGGGCGACAAACAGACAACAACTCGAGACTTCCTTCACGTGCAAGCACAAACCAGGACGTCACAAGCTGTTTTCAAAGCGGAGACCCTGATGAACGAACAGCCACGCGTCCTGGCGCTCAGCTGTGAGGCCAACTTCAACCCAAGCCGTGCCCAAAGACGTTTACTGGGAGGGCGGGCTAGGGCGATTATACAGGGACGCGCGCCACTCGCTCAAAAGAATTCTGGCCAGCTTCTATAGAGGGCGGGCGGATAAGCAGCAGCGATAGCGGTCCATTTCGCACCATTCGGGGCGCTGCCCTCAAGCACGATGTGTTGACGGCCAGACTTGCTACAGATTCCGTTGATCTGATTACACCGACGATCGAGACAGCTGCTATCATGGACATCTATGTTCAGACACAAGAATCTCGTTCGCTTGCGCCAACGAGCACCTTCCTGGCACTGGTCGAGACATCTTACTACGGCCCCCCGATCTATAAACCCCTGAACCTCTCTCGTGACAAAAACGCGTGAATTCACAGGATGCTCGAGTATACAGGGAACTCTGAACTTTTCGCAACATTTGATGACAGACAGCGCGGCACGCATGGTCTTATTGCCAGACGCCAGGCGAGCAAGCTGCTTTGCACTCAGAAGATGCCGCGGGAGTCCCCAGGGCTGCGATGCCGAGCGGATGGCCCCCACTCGGTCGGCAGCGGTGGTCCAGGGCCCACAAGGCGGTGCCAGCATCACGGCCAAGACGCGGCCTGCAGCGATGTCGGAGCACAAGCCTCGCAAGACCTTTCGTCGGGTAAGGTCGCCGCCTGGCCCGTGCAGCGTGTCCCAGAACCTGGCTGGCACGCCCATTGCCATTGCGGCGCGCCCAAAGCCTCCCTTGCCACTGAAGCAGTCGGCCAGGTATTGGCCAGTCAGGCGTGGTCGAGCTCCCGCAAGTCGACCGGCGAGGCGCGACCCAAAATGATGTCCGCGAGCTGAGCCTCGCAGACCAGGAACACGTTTTGCTGCGCGCTGCTCAGGGTCGCCCACGTGGCTGCCAGGAGTGCATGCTTCTCGTAGCGGACGACGCTGCGGTTGGTCTTCCACTGTCCGCGCTTCTGCACGTCGGCCAGCCGCCTCCACCTCCTTGCCATGTCTATCGAGGCCCCTGAGTGGCGCATCTGATACGGCACCACCTTGGCCTTTACCTGCAGGTCCTGGAGGCATAGGCTGAACATCTTGCAGTACTCTGGGTACGTGAAGTTCCACAGGCACTCGGGGTGCCCCTCCTTCTTCATCTGACGCAGCACGGGGTCCAAGAAGCGAATCCAGGGCGAGTCTAATAACTCTAGCGACACGTCCCCCAGGCCCGTCTTGTCCCGCAGGTCCTCCTCCTCCGGGAAGAGCCCCAAGGTCCAGAACTCGCGCACCCCCGCCGCTGGCGGCGCCAGGCAGGCCGGCTTCAGAAGCAAAAGGCTGCTGGGGCGGGCGTACACGCTCACCGCTATCAGAGTGAACACCGCCATCTGGAGGCTGCCACGGGCCTTCATGCGCCACGCCATTGCGCACCACAGCGCCAGCGCCCACGGCTTCCTCGTCCGCGGCGGCTCCAGGCGCCGCCAGGCCCGGAGGCATCTCCAGCCCCGGGGGAGGTGCCGGGCACCGTAGCGCGAGAAGTCGGGGTTGAAGTGCAGGACGCCAGCCATCAACTTCTCGGCCCAGGAGAGGTGAGTCCCAGCCTGGTACAAGCCGTTCAGGTAGCTCACCAACGCCGAGTCTACCACGGAGTCGCCCCTGCTCTTCATGACCTCGTCGATGTCCACCGAGGGCCAGCTCCGACGGGCAAAGTCCCGCCATCCGTCCCAGGCCCTCTGGTACTCGCGCTGCGTCGGGGTTCGCACGGCCTCCCGCTCCAGGAGAGAGAAGCCCTCCTCGCCGGTGGGCATCCCGTAGTGGCGGGCTCGGCGCTTCCGCGACTGCGCGAGCCTGCGCTGCCGCGCGGCGCCGGTCACGACCTCGGGCTCGGAGCTCCCGCTGTCGGAGGAGCCGACGCTCTCTCGCGCTCCCCGCGCGGGCTCCGCTGGCACAGGCACCTTTGCCAGGTCCTCCACCGCTCGCCCCAGGCCCCGCGGCAGGGGGCGGCTCAGCACAGCCGTCTTCAGAAGCCCCGACTCGCCCAGCTGACGCTCCCGCCGAGCTGCCGGCAGCGGCTGCGGCGCCATCGGCGGCGCAGGGACAAGCTGCCGCGTGCGCCTCGCCTCCTGGCCGCGGACTGACGGCTGCAGGCCAGGCTCCGGGCGAGACGGCGCCAGCTGCCGCGTGCGCCGGCGGCCCGTCTCGAGCCTCGCGCCTCGCCTGGCCTGCTGGGGGCTCCGAGAGCGGCCCCGCCCGTCTGGCGCTTGAGGGCGCGCGGGCAGCATCGCGGGCCGCGGCGCCATCAGGCGGGAAACCGCCCTGGGCGCGCCTGGGAGCTCTCGAGCTCCAACAGCTCAGCCAGAAGGGTGGACTTTGCGCCGTCAGGATCAAATAGCCGCGAGGGAAGGTCGGCACAGTTGAGCTCACTGGGTATCCAACGAATCGAACAACGAATGTTTCGGCTTAGACAGACAGCGTGAAATCGACGAATCTGAACCAACAAGTTGAAACACGAGCTCCTTCCCCGATTGAAGCTTAGCACGACCGACATATTGTCACAGAGCAGTAACTGACGTATATGGGACCCAAAGACCGTGGTGGCGATGCGATGGATGCTGCTGACCAGGGCTCGGGCCTCCAAGGTCAAGATGCCCTCAGGGTGCTGCCAGGCTCTCGCGAAACAGGGCTCCCACAGGCCTGCGCGGAGCCCCTGGGCGGGCACCTCCGGGAAGTCCCTCGCAACGTCCCACTGGCCCAGCTCCTCCTCATCTTCGGGAAGGCCCTTGAGTTCCCATTTTCCACTCTCACTCATACCGAAGCCAGCTGCACAGAGCGCAGCCTCTCGAGCACTGCGCGCGCAGCGCCGGCGAAAGCGGGCCCGCTCAGGCACGCGCCCGACTGACTCCACCAGCTCCTGCGGCCAGAAAGCCCTTGCCAGTCCGTAGCCGTGAAGACTGGCATCTGACTGCTGCGCCATCGGATTCCAAGGCAGCCACCAATCTGCCTCCAGGAAGTACATCAGGGAGCTGAAGGCGGCCAGCTCTCGCCGCGCCTCGGTCCATAGCACGGCCGCCTCGTCATAGTGGGCTCGCACAAAGCCGTGCACTGAATTGAAAGCTGACAAGGTGCCGCGCGAGCAGAGGCCACAAAAGGTTAGGTGGCCCAGCACTGCCTCCACGGCCCAGCCCTTGACACGGCGGCGGGCTAGGAGGCCCCGCACGGCCTGGCGGCAGCGCCAGAACCGATCACTGGTCACTCGAGTGCGCAACTGGCTGCCGTCGATCTCCGTGCCAAGCGCCACTGCCATGCCCGGCACCAGCTCGTCCTTGTGCAACAGTAGGTTCAGCTCGGTGAACTCGCCCGTCAGCTGGTTCATCACGCCGCTCACGAGCTCAGAGAATAGCGAGAAGACCCCCAAGTTGTCGACGTGCACGTAGTGCCTGACCTCCTGGGGCGCCCTGCCAGGCGCGAACACGAGCGGTGGCCCATGGTCTGACAGACTGGGCCCCCTGAGGAGCGCGCTGCTGCGGCGGCTTACCTCCTCGTTGGCCCGCTGGGCGAAGTAGAGAGACCAGCTGAAGCCCATGGGCAGGACCTGCCAGCAAGGGTAGATGGCCGTCGACGTCTGCACCTTGGCCCCCTCGACTTCGGTCACGCCGAAAGCCCCAGCCTTGACAGGCGGCAGGCAGAAGTATTGCGAGAGGGCTGAATCGATCCGCATTCGATGAAAGCAGTCCTTCACGTCCGCCATGCCGATGTACACCTGCTGCGCCTCCAGCGCGGCGCGGAGGTCCTCGTAACTCGAGAAGCCCGCGTCCGGCATGTGCACCTCGATTCTGGCGAGGCCCTCGCTGCTCAATAGCTCCACCCCAGGAGGATCCCTGAAGTGGGCGTTCGCACGGCGGGCGTCGACTACGAGGCGAAGTCGGCGCCGCCCATCCTTCCACACAAAGAACATCCCAATTCTCCCTTTCGGTGTCAGAGTCCACCCCAGAATGCCAGCTGACAGCAGCCGACGCACCAGGCCGCGGCACTCCTTGTGGTTGAACTCGAGGACCGAGTCGAAGTACGGCTCGACGTCGGTCGGCAAAGGTGACTCTCGTAGCATGCGCTCTTGGCGCTCCCGCAGGAAGGTAAGGGCCTCGCCAGGCAAGGTCCTCAAGACGCGGGCAGTCGCTCACGTCCGTCGGCATGCTGACGAGCCCTGCACTTTAGGAGGCGACCGTCGTCGGGCCGCCGCGCCCGTCATATGGCGAGCGGCCCCGCAGCAGCTCCCGGAGGGCCGCCTGCGGCTCCTGCAACTTGGCGTCCGGCTGCCGGCCCCGAACGAGGCCCTCGAAGCGCGCAAGTACATCCCGCTGCATGCCATTGGCTGGGCCAGGTTGCGAGTCGTACCCCGACATCCAGTTGATGGCGTCGACGATCCCGTTGACCTCCAACGCAATCCGAGACTCACGACCGAACTGCCTCGCCCTGCTAGACCTGCCGCGAATTCGGCGGCCTGCGTCGCCCAGCAGCGGGAGCGGCAGAAAGCTGCGGGCTCCTCGCGAGGGCGGCAAGCGGCCACCGTCGTGCCCCGGCAAAAAGGGCCCGGGGGAGGGGCTGAAGCCCCCGGGCCCGGGGGCCGTCATGGCCCCGTGGAGGCGACGCCCCTGGCCCGGCCGCGCCCGCGGCCGCCTCGGCCGCCACCGCGCCCCGCACCTGCTGCGTCACCTCCAGCTCCCTCTGCTCCGTCGACTGTCTCTGAAGGCGCTCCGCGTAGCGTACGCGCCCGATTCTGCGCCTGCTCCATCTCGTGCTGCTCCTTCGCCCGCCGGTGGACGCAGCCCCTGAGCTCTGGCCCTGAGACGTCCTCCACCGAGCTCACGCCCTCGAAGAAGCGTGCGTTCGTCCAGCTCGGCTTGGACGGGTCCGCGTAGGCATCCACCACTGCGGCCACGCGGCGTGTCAACACCTCCACCATCATCAGGCCGCCCATGTTCAACTGGTCATATACCCCGCCCTGGTACAAGGCCTCCACGATGGTCCTCAGCTCGTGCACCGCGCGGTCATTCTGCCCGAGGCCCTTCATGCGAATGAAGAGGTCGAGCCAGAGGCGCGGGTCGCCACCGTGCCTTTCCATGTGCTTGCACATGTGGAGAGCCCCAGGCGGTCCGTCCACCTTCGCGTCTGGGTAGCGCTCCTGCCTCGACTCGCCTACCACGTCCCGCCATCGCTTGAACCGCTCGCCCTGCTCGTCGTAGTCGACCCAGAGCGTGCGGGCGTCGGCGTCGCGCTCCTCGCCCAGCGGCTCCGCCAAGGGCGGCAGCGCCAGCTCGGGCGCAGCCGTGCCGCCCATGGGCTCGGCGGGCTCCTCATCCTCGAGCGGCGCCGCGGCTGCAGCGCGTCGGCGCTCGGGGCCCAGGGCACGCGCTTGGCCTCTGTCCAGGCCATGCCAGACTGCGGCCTCCTCGGCCACGCGCCCAGGGGCCGGCCCTGCGCCCAGCCGGGCGAGACGCACTATGCCGCCGTCGGCGGCCCTCAGCACACCGAACGGCTCGGGCCCGTCCTCGAAGCTCAGGCCCTCGATATTCGCCACGTCGACCTCCGTTCCGATCGCAGCGCCGGGCCCGCCGCTGAGGGCGATCCAGGCCTGACCCGCACCAGGAGCCTCCAGCAGCTTCCCGCCCAGGCGAGCCACGGCCATGCCCAGGCGCAGCAGGCCGGCCCGCTCCGCGGCCGACAGCTTACCAGCAGCCTCCTGCCAGGTGACCCGCTGGCCGCCCACGGCCACGGCCTCCCTCGGCTCAGGCAAGGCAGCGTCCATCTCCAGCGCCGCCTGACGGCCCCGCGTCAACGCGTCGGCCAGCTCGTCGGGCCCCAGCTCCTCACGGAAGCGATACAGCCTCCGCATCTTGCGCGTCCGCAGTGCCAGCGGGAAGGCTCGGGCAGGCCCAGTCTCGGGGTCCCCACAGCTCATGTCCTCAGCGTAGATGTCACCATCTGGGGTCAGGACGACCCACTCGCCTTCCGCCGCGTAGTGCAGCAGCACCCGCTCGTGGTCGACGTCGTCGTCGGCGAAACGGCAGACCACGTGCTCCCCTGGGAGCGCTCTAGTCCACCACTCCCGCCCCGCGTCGCCGCGGAGCCACCCCACGAGCGACGCCATGCCTGCGAGTGACCACCTTCGCCACCAGCCAGTGCACCAGGCCTCCAAGCAGCGCTCCAGCGAGCTTCTCAGCCGCCTTCTCGCCAGCCGACGCCTCCGGGCACGCCCTCGCCTCGCAGACCGGGCAGGCCGCGCACGGCGGCAACTCGCAGGCCGGGCAAGCCGCGCAGGGAGGCGGCTCGCAAGCCGGGCAGGCCGCGGCCTCCGGGCAGGCCGCGCACGCCGCCGCCTCTGGGCACGCTGGGCAGGCAGGGCACGAGAGGTCTGGGCAGGCCGCCTGCCCTGGGCCCCAGCCTGGCCCAAAGAAAGCCGCGGCCTCCAGCGCCAGCACCGCCCAGGCCGGCAACGCGGCCGCCCCGCCAGGGATGGCGACCGAGTCCATCGACTCTGGACCAGAGAAGCTCAAAGTAGGAAAATAGAGCCAGATGGCAACAGAGGCAAGAGGAAGCTCGCCAAAAACATGATCTACCACGGCAGGGTTGCATCATCATCAAGAGGCGACTCATGCTCTGTGAAGCCAAAGGGCGACAAACAGACAACAACTCGAGACTTCCTTCACGTGCAAGCACAAACCATGTTTCCCATGAGTTTTTGAAAGATTGTAGCGTTTGCATGTTTCGGCCTTCCGACGGCCCGAGACGGCCCAAGTGCCCCCAAAGATCGCCCAAGAGGCCCAAGACACGGCCCCAAGAGGCCCCCAAGACGGCTCAAGAGGTCTCCAAGACGCTCAAGATGGCCTCCAAGACGGCCCAAGAGCCCTCCAAGACGTCCTCCAAGAAGGC